AACCGTTTCCAAGATCTCACGATTTCTGAAAAAAAACACCTATTTTTCAAGGGAATGAAAAATCTATTTTTTTCATCGTACAGAGGTGCGCGGGGTAGCAAAATTTTCGTAACGATTTACATTTTAATAATCAAAAATAAAAAATATTCCAATAGAAAAATGTTAAGATAAGCGGCAAAAACTGGGGGAACAGTTTTAAGATACACCGTTTTTGACAATAGGTAAATAGCTTTTTTTGCAACTAAATTAACGTATTGGATCCGCGCCAATAAAAAGTTTTTGAAATCTGTCTTCTCTCTCCTCTTTAATGTTGCTAAAATATTTTCTTTTATTTCCCAGTGCCCAACTGCGTTAATTAAAACATCTTTATTATTTCTTTTTTCTGCATTTTTACCGCAATAAAAGCAATTTGAAGTAAAATCGAATTCTTTTGCTTCCTGAACAATTTGTTTTTGTTCACTAACTCTTCTTCCGGCCTATTTTACAGCTGATGGAATTAAGCTGGGCCTGTTGATCGTTAATTTATAGGAATTATGAATAAAATCCTCACGAAGTTTATTCCAGGTTTTACATCTCAAATCATTTGCTTTGGCCGGTAAAACTAACGTTCTTATTGCAGATTTTGCAAGTTTATCAACAGGCCCAACGCAATTGCATCGCTATAAAACAGGCAGGAAGAAGAGTCAGTGAACAAAAAGAAATTGTTCAAGAATCACGAAGCAAGATAATCCGATTTTATTTCGAATTGCTTTTATTGCGGCAAAAATGCAGAAAAAAAATCATAAAGATGTTTTAACTAAAACAGTTGAGCATAAGATAACAAAAGAGGCTATTTAAGCAAACATTAAAGAAGCAAGAAGACAGATTTCGAAATAGTATATTGAAAGACAAGTGTTACAATGCGACCTATTGTAATATGACTATCTTGTGGCACGAGTGGCGACGCGAAGCGTAGCCACGAGTGTCCGCAAGATAGGAGTATTACAATAAAGCATTGTAACACGTGTTTTTCATACTATTTTTTCTATTTCGGTGCTTTAATTTAATTAAAAAAATCATTATCAGAAACTATAGGGAACATTAGAACTAACATGTTTTATGTTGGGAACACTTTTTATGCCGTTAAGTTTTAGGTTGGCAGCGTAGTAAGACTGACATTTTGAAGTTCAAACATGGAAGTACCCAACGAAGTACCTACTTGTACTAACTAGTAACTGCCAACTTAAGAGATGAGTTACCAAAAAAAAAACGACTATAATCACTGTCTTTGTACAACTGTTTTCGGCCGAAAACAGTTGTACAAAATCATCATTGTGACACCGAAATAGAAAAAAATCTTTATTACATCCAACATGTTGATTTATCTTCTTTTTTATCATAAAACAGGCTATGTTTCCTCTCCTTTTCAAACCCCTACGACATTTTTCGCAAAAATAAGAGTAAAAAACGAAAAACAGTTTTTCCGGTTTTTCTAGGGAAATTGGAGGTTATGTGAAAATAGTGCAGATACAAAAATTGCTCAATTTTTCAATCTCTATAACTTTTACATTTAACATTTTCGTCTAAAGTTAATAGTTTTACCACAATTTGCAAAACACCACTTTCCACCCCTTTCAACCCCCGTGATTTCACCCGCGGAAAAATTCAGCTGTTTTAATTATGTTTTCCCAATTTCTATTCATTTCACCTGCCTGAAAAACCCGGTTTCGCCCGGTAACTAATTTTTTTTTGTCAGAAAATATTATATAGTCTGGACTATTAAAATTTACTTCCGCTAGAAAATACACATTTTTAAATGGTCTTGCATAGTCATGGGCCAAAACGTAGCTGTACCGACCAACTATTACCACTCATCACATACAGAATGTGTCTCGCGAGAAAAGAGTCAACAACTGCAATCTTGAATCTAAAAAAGTGATGTTTCTGTAAATTCCGCTATATTAACCTAACAAAAAATACCCGGTCTTTAAACTCGAGGATAGTCTGAACCTTTTTTGTTTGACAATTTTTGCTGGATCTCTAAAAATGAAGTGCTGGGGGGTATACCAAAAGTTTCCGTAAAAAAACACCCTATATCTTCGAATCGATCACTGAACCGATTTTAACAAACTTGGGTTAGTTGAAAAGAGCTATTCTTAGGAGATTGTATTTGAAGTTTTGTTAATTTCACATGTCGCCGCTTGAGGGCTTTTTGCGACATTCCGACAGAGATGATTAATGTTCTCAAAAAATTAAATGCATTGGTTTGATTTTTTTCATGAAACAGTAGCTAAATGATGCCTAAACAAGCTCGCGAAAACGGCATCTCGATATCTTGCTTCTAACCTAAAATTTAGGCCTGTCAATAGACGACAAACTATCCTTCATCAAGCAGTAGGTATTCCGAACCCACGAAAGAAGTCACTATAGTGTTGAACTGTTGATCTTTAACAGCGCAGTTCTTCCCACACTTATAACGGGTGTCCCAAAATGCACGCGCACAATTCAAATTTCGCGCAATTTGTGGAATATTAAAGTTAAAAGAGAAGAAAATGATGACAGCTAATAGGTTAGGGCTATAAAAAATGGAGCGAAATTCGAAATAGCATAACGCCTTTTCAATGTTAATACCTATATTAAAAATAATATGGCAGCTAGAGTCGCAATTTTCCTACATAATATGGTCATTAACTGTGAAGAGATTAATTCAAAAAATTAGGGAGATTGGATCAATTAGTGATCTTAAAGAAGACTTGCATTTCCGTTCATACAAAGCGCAACTGACTCAGGAACTGAACCGAAGAAAGTTCGTTGATTGCATTATAGCACAGACAACATATACTATGTAATATGTTGTCTGTGATTATAGTTATGGAACATTAACAAAGTCGATGCTGATTTTTCAAACAAAATCATTGTTAGTGATGAAGCGCATACGTATTCATTGATGGCTTCGAAAATCGCCAAAATTGTCGCATTTGATGTTCAGAGAATCCACGAGTCTTTGTTGAGAGAAAAATATCACTGTTTGGCGCAGCTTTTGAGTTGGAGATATTATCGAACCATTCTTTTTTAGAAAATGCGGATGGTCAATAATAACGGTTCAGGCGCGGATCTAGGGGGGGTCACAGGGGGCCGGTGGCCCCCCCCCCCCGTCCAGCCCCCGTCCATATAAAAAATTTACATCATTTTCCCCGATTGGGGGTTTGGCATGGACAACCTTTTACCCTAACGCGGCGTACAATTTTCGCGCATGAACGTTCGTGCGCGGAAATTTGTTTAAGTGAGTAGCGGCTAATACTTATCTTCTGAATTATAATTCGTCAGACTGGCTCTGGCAACATTGTAAGCGTAACAATCGAGAGTTCGACTGACATGACAACAGCATATTTCACGTCTTCCTTTGAGTGTGTAGTGCGCAACTCCCCATCCACTTAGGTACTTGACTGGCTTACTGAAGAGTACAGTTACTTTTCGCCTTGCGATTTTCGAAAGCCGGCCATGATAGTGTTATACAGCTATTTGGACTGATTCCAGTCAATTTACAAAATGTTGACAATCAAACTATAGTTGAAGCCGCTAAGTTTTATGAAGATGACCTGCCTGGTTCCCTATTAGAGCTGTCTGGAGAATTAGAACTGTGGAAAATGAAATGGGCGAATGAAAATGAATCAAGAAAACCTTCTTCTGTTCTGGAAGCGTACACAAACGCATCCAGTTCTTTTTTCCCCAATATATTCAAACCTTATTCCACATACTTGCTGTTTTACCAGTGACAACTTGTACGGCTGAAAGGTCTTTTTCTTCATTACGACTGATTAAAACTTACTTGCGATCGACCATGCAGGAAAATCGCTTAAATGGGTTAGCATTATTATATATTCATAAAGATATTGCTATAAATGCTGAAGAAATATTGGCTGACTTTGCAAAACGTCGACTTCAGTTACAATATTTGTAAATAGAACGTTTGTTGTATTGTGTTTATAAAATAATCTTATTCGCTATTTTTTGTTCTTCTACTCTCTATAAATAAAAAAATTAACTTAGCGTTTATTTTTTAATTTTGAAAATCCACATAAGCACCGCCCCCCCCCCCCCTCGAAAAATATATCTAGATCCGCCACTGTAACGGTTAATAGTGCTCGCTGTCGCGACATGATGGCCAGTTTTTGGTATGTAGGTACCTAAATTGCAAAATATGGATGTGGATGATATGTGGTTTCAACAGAACGGGGCGACACCTCCACAACGACCCATGCATTATAAGAAGAAATTGAGCACTGTATCAAGGAAATTCAGTCACATCTTTGAATATAAAATGTATATCAAACGGTTATGGAAAATTTCATCAGAGTTCATATGTGCCAGTAAAGCCGTGGAGACACTGATATATGCTATGCCATACAACCCTATCGTGTGTAGTTTATGAATCTTTTAAAAATCGCCATTAATAGGTAACGAGATACGAAGAATCGCATACGACTTTCAGTAGGGGAATTTTTTGACAGTTCGCATTGGGAAACACGATTTCCGGCTCTACTCAATAGCACAAGTTTCTTCTAAACTCTAATAGAAAGTGAAAAATTGTATTCGTATCTACCTATATGCATTTAAAACACAGACAGTTAGTAAAATGCCTCATTTTTCATATAACTACAAACAGCAGATTTTCTTTCGGAATTTTTCAAAATTCAATTTTTTTGCTATAAGACCCGAAGTTTTCTTCTAACTGCGTTTTTCTTGCACAAGCGTTGCAAGTGCCGTTTTGTAACTCAGTCAGAACTTTGAATATTATCTTCAAAGATCAGAGTCAGAGTCAAACCGTTTGGTCGAAATTTTATATTCAAAGGTCGAACACAAAATATATGATCAAAGATCACAGTATAGACATCTATTGTCTCACTCTGTATAGTTCACCTCGGCTACACAGAATGCCATTATAAGGGGTGTGAGTATTTGAACAATAAGCTGCTAGATTGCAGCACTGGAAAAATAAAGATATCTATAATATTTTAGTGAATTTCTTAGAAAAGTTTAAATAAATAGGAGCGTGTTGAGTATTTAATCCTCTCTTTGAAATTCATTAACGACAAATTTTTATAACGCATAAGATTACATAATAAAGACGCGGCAATTTTAAACTATGGAGCATTCAACGCTAAGGTAGCAATTTGGGTATGCTTTAAGTAGTTTGGTTAGAAAACATTTTTGTTTTGCAGAAAAGGCATGCTACTAGGAATTGGAAATCCTCTCCTAGATGTATCGGCAAATGTAGAAAAAGATGTACTGGATAAATACGACATGATACCGAATAATGCAATTTTAGCTGCAGACATTCACAAACCGCTGTGCGGGGAACTTATACAGAAGTACAGTGCGCAGTTTATTGCCGGAGGAAGCGTACAAAACTCGCTGCGTGTGGCCCAGTGGATTCTCGACGAGCCCAACGTCACAACATTCTTCGGATGTGTCGGTGACGACGAATATGCGAAAATTTTAGAGAAATACGCACGTTCTAATGGAGTCAATGTGAAATATCAATGTAACAAAAATGAACCGACCGGAACTTGTGCAGTTTTAATTACGGATAAGCATAGGTCGCTGTGTGCCGATTTGGGTGCCGCAAATACGTTTACGATTGACCATATCAGAAATCCCGAAAACTGGAGTTGTATCGAAAATGCGAATATGTACTATATTTCGGTAGGTATTTATTAAGGTTGCTATGTTGATAATAGTAGGAGCGTTATCGCTTTGTTATGATAACTAGCATTTCATTATGTATACTTTTGAGATCTCGTTCATTTCAAGGTTCAAAGGTCAGGGATTAATTATCATTGGTAATGCAAATGTTATGGCTTCCTCCAACTTTTCTTAGTCCATCTGCTTTGTTTGGAAAAGAAAGGTACATAGACCAGTACACTACAAATGTGGTTTATAAAAGAAAATAGAAGTATCAAGTAATTAAAGGCACACTAGTAGGAATCGATGTAATGTTAAATGGAATTTGTCACAAGATTGCGCCAGTTTCTCATGAATGTGGTGATTACACTTTGATCTAAATCATCCACGCCGTACATTCACTGCGCATGCGAAAAGAAACTATATTTGACTGCCTTTCAACTGTTCAGGAATTCGAACCCATTTCAGCCAAGTTGAACATTTATAGGGTTAAAGTTATCTTTTTTTTTTTAAAAGCAAACAAAAATGCTTAAGACCCGCAGTGTACTCAATGTCATGGACGATTTAGACAAATATGGTGGCTACAACGAGGCTTCTATCTCATTGGGTGGCTACTACGCACATGTTACCAACTTAAGCAGCTTGAATTTATTCTGGGTTTAAGGGGTAAGGAAAACCGAAATGTGAGGTTATTAGGTTAATACAAATTCAAAGTTCAAAATATTTTTAACTTTTTGATAAAAGAATATTCATAACACCATCTGAGACAACTACATGATGATATATGTATTTCGTGCTATTACAAAAGAAAATAGAACATTAAATCACTAAATATATACGGGGTGTCAATTTTAAATAATAATAATAATTTATTACCCAACAGCCAATGCCAATTACATAATGAATATTTAAGTTAAATAATATAGTTTGTAGGGTTGAAGTTCTTGGCTAATTTGCCATAAATCTCTCAATGTCAACATATAGTTTTTTTTTGTTAATTATTAAATTCTTGTTAAATTGTCTTTAAGAATATTGACTTTATTGGTACCACTGGAAAGCATTTTTTAGTAGCTTTCCAACGATGTATCACAAGTATAGGGTTGCCATTTAGAATTTTTGATGAGGGGGGTCAAGGGGTGGTGGGGGGGTTGTCACTCATAACGTCATTCTGGTTCCCCCTCAATACTACCGAAACGGTTTTGCGCGATTTTCAATATCCTCTTTAGTTTGGAAAATATGGCAAGTTTTAAAATTGACACCCTGTATATTACATGTTATAGCAAAATATTGTCTCGTCGCAAGTAATAACTTGGAAAATGACTCTAATTTCGCATGTAATTAATTGAATGGATCACTCACTAGTAGGCGGGGGACACTGTGTGACCCAAAGGCACAATCTTCAAATGAGTATAACTTTTGTTTGAAAAGTGATTTTTAAAAACTGTTCGAAAATTTTGTTCCTTAACTCATCAAGTATGTACACAACGAATTTCGTGGAATTCTCTCCATTTTCGTTGTCCGACCAAAGAATTGCGGGGGAATTTTTTTTCGAATTTTCAAAAACTAGTTTCATATTCGCGATTTTCATGTTCAAAAACCCTCAGATATCAAATTTCGTCGAAATTAGAATTTTTTTCGTACCCCCAGTTAGGGGTGCGCCCTTTCGTGGTAGGAATTTTGAAAAAAAAATTTCAAAATCGGAAAGGGCATACCCGAAAACCAAAGACGTGCCACCGTTTATTCTAACTCTTATGGTAAAAAATTAAAGAAGAAATGCCTTTTTTGGAGGTGGCTCCCAAACAAAACACGTTGGATCCTCGGTTTATTTGGAAAAAGTGCTTGTTTTGATCCCCTTTTACCACCCAAATTTGTTTATACATACTTATATGTAACACCCTGTATAGTATGAGTTTAGAGGGGCCCCTGCAGATGGTCTTTCTATACTAGTCCGGTATTTGCCTTACGAATTAGGAAATTTTAATTCAGAGTAGCCGGCAGAATGTTGGAAATGGATCTAAGGAAATTCCCCACTTTACCACAGATGAAAAATTCTTACCTCGACCCTGGTTCGAACCCCCGACTCTGGCTATGTAACCCAATGCTCTACCACTTTCTTGTACTTAATTTATCACATACGCTTCACTATCTTGTACTTAATTTATCACATACGCTTCACTATGAAAGAAAGCGTTACATCCACTTTTGCTACTTTGCACAGGTGACTAATCTTTGATCGACTTGATGGCGGCTGGTGGCGCCCCGCTGTCTCTCCAGATTTCTAGAATATTCGCTACAATATCTTTAAGTTGCTTCAATCTGTGGTGCCAATCATCCAAACGCTAGTGTCATTTCCTGTTGAGGTCGATAGTGGGACCCCAAACCAATCAGTGGGATAGTTATTACACTGTTTTCACAGAAAGAACATTGTAGTAAAGGGGTCTCGAGGACCTACGGCCGGGGCCCCGTTGGCAAAGGTACGTTGGTACGTCCACAGAGAATGCCTGAATGGACCCAGACCTAAAATCATAACTCTAGCTAAAATAGTCTCATATATTCTTCTTATCAAAATAATAATGTGGGAGTACTGGGAGTCCATTGCGCTACTCTTCCAAAATTTCGATCTCCACGAAAATTGGTATCTTTTCTAATAAGAAAACAGCGAAACCAAAATTCATTTTTGAAAATTCGAATAAAAAATTCTAACTAATTCTGGATCGGGTAATAAATGGCGCAAATTTTATGAAAGTTGTAAAGCATGTACAGGGTGAGTCAACGATTGCGCGGAATAACTTAATGCTTTCTGCTGCTGCTTAAATGCTGATTTTTCGATATAGTGCTTTTGTATTATGATATGGTTGAATATTCTCCACATTTTAAAAATGGTTGGAATTATACAGGGTGCACCCACAAAGTGGGGCGCCATAATGGTACATTTTTTTAAATCGAACCCCCTGTATTTGAATGCATTTATGAATTCTACGCGTAATTGTACGTCTTTTTTATTATATGGTTAATGTCCGAAAAACTAGTAGTTTTAAAGATAATTCGATTTTTAAGAAAAATTGGGACTATTAAAAGGACGGAACTTGCGACTTTATCTAAGTTTTTGGGTGTGCTTTTTCTAATTCTGCGAAACGATTTCCAAAAATCCCACCCTATGATGATGCACTGCCAAATGGAAGTGTGGACATTTCTGATCCCGACTAAATTTGATTTTTTAAACATTAAGGTAACGTCCAAAATTATTAACCAACTAGTCATCTTTGAAAGTTTTGAAGAGTGACCGGCACATTATGAGGGAGTCTCACCTTAAACTGTGCCTGAAAAGCTGCAATTTCTTCCCCATTTAAATCCTCTCTCTTCTCTGTCTCCACTATTTTCCTAGATTGCAATGCTTGACACTCCACTATAGTGACTCGATTTTTTTTATGCTAGTATAGGTAATAGTACTGTATACTGTAAGTTACATGGCAAAAATTTAGTTACAAAATTTAAGTGTACAACATTCCTAACCACATTATTTTTAGGGTTTCTTCTTAACAGTAAGTCCTCCTACCGCTTTAGAAGTGGCCAATTACGCTTTAAGTAAAAACCGTCCATTTATAATGAATCTTAGCGCTCCTTTTATTTCTGAATTTTTCGCAGAACCTTTAATGGAACTACTTCCATTTATCGACATATTGTTGGGAAACGAATCTGTAAGTACTAACGTCTCGTTAACATTAAAACTTCATCCGTTCAGTTTAGGAGGCGGAAATGTTTGCGAGCGTACAAAATTTCGGGACCAAAGACTTAAAGAAGATAGCGTTGAAGGTGTGCGAGTTACCAAAGAAAAATCCGAATCGTTCCAGAGTGTGTATTATAACTCAGGGACCCGATGCCGTAATTTTGGCACAGAACGGAACAATCACGGAGTTTCCGGTCGAGCATGTACCCGAAGACAAAGTTGTGGATACCAACGGCGCGGGTGATGCTTTCGTGGGTGGATTTCTTGGACAGTTAACTATGGGTAAACCTCTTGATGTTTGCATTAAGTGTGGTATATGGACTGCAAGAGAAATTATCCAAAAATCCGGATGTACTTTCGAAGGCAAAGCAAATTTTAATGTTTGACAATTGCAGTAGAATTTATTTGTCAATTGTATCAAATGCACTTAATATTTCTATATTGGTGGTTAAAATAGGATGTAACGGCGAATAATTTTGGTTCTGTGATCATGTTATAATTATACCATTTTACCTACACGCATAGCTGTAATTGATGTTATTTATTTAACGCTTAAACCACCATTACTTTTACAACTATAGAATTAGTGCATCTTACCAGTACTTATATTTTTATACACTTCCATTGTTACTTCAAAATTTAATTAAAATTTTATTTGTCGTTAGTATAGTTCTTTTGTTATCATATATAATTTGCTAAAAACGTCGGTCTTTTTTTATCTGTCGTAATAGTGTTGTCAGTTAAACATGTCAAAGAGGGGGTCAAGAGAGCATTCTTTCAAGGATCCAAAATGTTTCAGTTGGTAGCCATGTCTGCAAATGTCGCAAACTGTATGCTTAGGGTTGCCGCATGGCGGGGATTGTCCCGGAATTAGCTGCACTGTCCAGATCCCGGTTTTTCATATATAAATCCCGGACAAAAATTACGCATCGTTGTGACCAAAAATCAAAATTTACACTTGCCCAAACCCCCACCGCTACGTGTCTGGCCATTAAACTCGTTGCGCATGTTTTAAAGAATCGATTATACACTGAGCTGTTATGTGTTGGGACGTGAGACATAATCAGGAAGAGAATTGAATAAAATGCAGAATTTGGTGTGCAAGAAAATAATAATAATACACTTTATTATTACCCAAATACAAATAATACATTTTTTTTTTAATTGAAGATAAGAACAAATAAAACATATTACGCACACAAAAGGCGATACCGAGAAAACCTTTTGTGGATAAAAAACCTGCAGGCATAACCCACACAAATACACGAAATGAATCGACTACAACAAATGCAAAAAATAAATACACAAATCAAGCATCTCAAATTGTACAATAAAAATCAGGTAATCTAAACAAATTCATAAGTACACTACACATCATATAAACTGGAAAATATGATAAATATCAATTTAGTACAGAAACACATGTACGATCCATTGAGATAAAAAAACTCTTAAAACGATAGATTGCATGCACATAAAAAAACAGCAGTGTATTATCGCACAAACAAATCACTAAAATAAGAGGATTCCTCTTTTTCGTACAGCTAACATACGCACACTCCGGCAGTGGGCCACGAACTGCATACGGTACTCCCTCCAAGTAATAGTTAAATCGAAACGTACACACACTGATAATAAACTTGTAATGAATACATAAATAAAACAATATAAAAATGTACAGAAACAACAAACATGAGTCAGATTCGCTACACAAAACAAACGTTGGAATGCGCCCATATCAGATGTTATGCAAAATGTAAATAATAACAAATTGTGATATGAAATTCCAAGATTAATAGTTAGTAGATACAAGAAAGAAGAAAATGGTTACTACCTGCAAATACACTTTTCAAACAAAATAAACGCTACTCAACCTCTGCTCGGATTCGAATGCCGTTAACCGATTCTAGCTTTCTCCTCAGCTTCGTTGCGAAAAATCCCTGTTACCCGCATCTGCGCAGAACGGCCAAAGTCAAAGATTTCATGGTTGTTGTATACACAGAGTAATTTTCTTATTCAATGCTTTTATTCATTATGAAGGTTTTCCCCTTTTGGAACATTGTTAAGATGGTATCTGGGAGATCCCCGTGTTACGGATCGAAGGGGGCCTCTTAATAGACGGTCTGATCAAGTGCCATTTTTGTGGAGTATATTTTAAAGACAGTTTCGACGTTGCCACTTTGCTTTCGTAAGAGAACGCTGGGTAGGGCCAAAAAGTGACATTCCTATCTGCTCGTGTTACTTCAACTTATAGGCAAAACCAAATGTTATTATAACGACACCGGTAGGTATATCTCAAATCAACAAGGTGTTGTTACTTGATAATTGACTTCAATTTCGATTATGTATGGCAGTCCACCAATCGGCAGCAGAACGGTTAAAGACGCCATGGGAACGCGTGCTCCGAACATGTCTCAACCTAACGAAGCCAATGACATTCACACCAGTCTCGGAAATACAAAAATTCAAGTTGGATTAAATTAAAACTAAAGCAAGCCATTTACTTACTTCCTGCTTGACAATCCAAAACTAGACAAATTACTTTCTGTGTGGTACCATTGCAACCGGCAGCCGCATTGGGATCTCTGTTATGAAATCTACTACCAGGGAAGAAAATCAAGCGCTACATATTTATTGACCAGTTAAAGCCCTTCTCAGGAAACAACTTACCAAGAATGCGGAGAACCAATCAACGACGGTCATACTAAAACACAATGGAAGTGTTCGCTTTTTTGAAATACCAATTCAACTTTCCAACCAGCACCAACGGCGAGTTACACCAGTACGACTACTGGCGACTCGCCACTGACTGACTCACCAATGGACAACTCGCCACCGCGATAAGTCGCTAATGTGACAACTCGCTAACAGATGACTCGCCACTGCGACAACTCGCTAACGAATGATCTTTTTTCGTGTGTAATAAGGAGTTATTGAACAACGTCGTATACGTTAAGCCTTAATTAATACTGCCGTACCTCATTTAGGAGAAGACCGTATTTCTGGCATTAAAATTTATAATTGAGTTATAATGAGATTGAACGCGAACATGGTGAGGTTATGACCACTGAACTATAATTAAACTGGAACGCGCGTTCCGTTGGGCAGCGCGATCCGAGAGAGAGGGCCACAAGGGGGATCTCTGTCCTACTCTCGCGCATGCATAGAGCAACTCATTTGATATGTTTTGAATTTATATTAATGATCAGTTGACAGTTTCCCAATGAGTGACAGTGACAGAAATCCCCCTTGCGCTTTCTTTCTCGGCGCGCTACGTTTCTATGGCAGAGACCGCCAATGCGGGTTCCAGTATAAGTATAGTTCAGTGGTTTTGACACCCCGACGTAATTTCAACCTAATATTTGGATATGTTTACCATTTGCCCGTGATTGCAATTGCTGACATTTTGGATGCCATTTTAATATACATATAGATAAAAGAAATACCGCAAATAACAAAATGTATCTACACAGAAATAGATTGTGGAGGTTAAGATTTTGACAGCTGATGTTATAAAGGAAATAAGGTTAAGTACCTTAAATCCCATCGACATAATAAATGGACTGCGCGTGCCAGCTAAGCACGGATATTTACAGTTACGCATCTGATTGGCTCTTTCAATAGAAGCAATCGCGATCGAATTCAAACCAAATTGAAAGAACCAATCAGATGCGTAACTGTAAGAGACAGCTTGCCCTCTTAGTTTTCCCTTCTCTCTCACCTGCAGTATCCGTGGTTATCATTGACACGCTCAGTCCATTTATTTACATGTAAACAGTACTCACTCTTTCGATTTATTTGAACAATAAATTTGACAATCACATCGTTACGATTTATCGTCGCGTGTAAACTAGCCTTAACCTATGTAAAAAGCAAAGCGAGTTGTCGCATTGACGGTGGCGAGTTGTCCATTGGGGAGATGTCGCGTTGGCGAGTTATCGTAGTGGTGAGGAGTTATCGCAAGTAGGTACATACAAACACAACCCTATGCGTACTATCCAGCCGAGCCGAGTACTGCCGAGATTTGAAAGTATCGCGAAAAGTCTGTCGTTTCCAGGTTTCCACTTATTCAAAGAGACTGCTTTTCCGGTTTTTTTTAAATTTAAATCGTCCGCGCCCTTCCATACACTGCGAAAGTCGGAATTAACCCTTCCCCACAACTATTTTAGAATGTGGATTCAGTGCAGCCACTATGAATGTGTGCCACAGTCCACAATGGTACCTACAGGGCTAGAAGACCCGGCTCGCACCCGGGCGGCTCGCGTTCGATTCTTTGTATGAAAAAAATTTTTTTTTACAAAAAGCCATACCCAATTCAGCGAAGTTAGACATGAGGTTATTTGTCGAGTTAACATTTTCTTCTTAATTTTTTTGAAAAGCACACTTATAAAAATTCTTCAGTCGTGCGCAGTGTATGGAACGGCGTGGACGATTTAGACAAATGTAAATTTTGTACATATAGGTATATCTGATATATGCTTTTCCCCCAGAGTTGCTAATTGTAAATAAGGGTAGGTCATTCCGATGGCTTCAGCAGTTTGCACGCGTACCGGGTTTTTTCAATATGTATTTTGTTTGTTCTGTACGTTCGTTAATCTTTGAATTTCATATGTCATAATTTTGTTATTATTTACCTTTTGCATAAAAAGCTGCTATTTATTTATTAAAGCACGGTGTGCTCCAAGCTTTTGTTTTTAGCCCTGTTTCTGAATTATGTTTATATGTTATAGTGCACATGTAGTTCTGCCTTTATATTGTTTTATTGACTATTTATTGAAGTATTCACGGAGAAGTACATTATCGGAGTGAAGTTGGGCTGTATATTTGACTCACCATTTTATTCCGATACCTGATTTTTATTGTACGATTTAAGATGATTTATTTGTGTTTCTCTTGCATTTTGTTGTCGTAGTTGATTTATTTCTCGTATTTGTGTATGTTGTGCCCGGGTCCAGTTAAGGTTTTTCCTATATAATGCCTATGGAGTTTAGATAGAGATCTAACGAAAGATTTACTAATAGATAGGTATTACCACAGACAACATATATGTTGTCTGTGGTATTACTAATTTTTCTTGACGGTAGAGGCATCTACGTGTTAGAATTTAAACTATTGAAAACCATCACAATTCTTGCCATATTAACTAGCGTTGCCATCCGTCCTCTTTTCCCCGGACACTGTCCTCTTTTTTTGCGCGTCCGGGGTATGTCCGGGGAACATTTTTGATTTGTCCGGGATTTAACAAACAGAAAACTTTTGATCAAAATATTGATAAATCAAACCATCAATGACGTCAACATGATCAGTTTACGGTCTATATATAGAGTAACGCCGTAACCTCTCATTTTTTTCGTGATTAGCGCGTACGCGGTGCGGCGCGCGCGCGAATCGTGATTCGTGATTCATGCTGTAATTTTGCTGTAGCGGCTTCGTCTCTGTTTTGTTGTCCGTTTCGTGGTTTCGGATAACGTGCACGTGCAGCAGGATTATTAAAATTATTTAGAATCGTGGATCGAACCTCTGAAAGATCTAGATATATTTGAGTGGATGGATATTGCTAATATTAAAACAGTCGAGTATTCAAATCTTGAACCAACTCTTTTATTTTTAAATGCTCACAATGTAAATTTTGACGAAGAAAAGTTATTTAATGAAGTACTCTGTTTGCAAAAATTTATAAATGACTTGCCAACTGAAAACCAAGTTACAAACAATTGCAATATTTTTTGGAGCAATTTTTTCTTGTCTGAATTAGGAACAAACTGCCATGAACTTAAAAGGATAGCTTCATTTTTCTTTTGTCTACCAGCTCACAACGCCAACGTGGAGCGAGTATTTTCGCTCATTAAGTCTCAGTGGAGCGCTGAACGAAATAAACTTTTACCTGAAACTATAGCAGATATTTTAAAAACCAAATATAATTTTGACATGACATGTCAACAATTTTATGATTACCTTTTAAAAGGAGACAAAAATGTCCTTAAAAACATAGGCAGTTCACTTAAATATAATGTTGAATTAAATAAGTAATTTACAATTATTTTTATATTCTTTGTATGTTATTTTTATTTAGATAGGTTGGCATATCTATTTATCATATATGTTTAATAAAAAAACGTCATAAGACAAAAATTTGACTTTTTTTTTGCCTGTCCGGGGTATATAGTAAAATGTCCGGGTTTTTACATTTTGAAATTCTAGTTTCTAAAATTATACGATGGTAACCCTACATATAACCCACATTTCTGTATAGGTAGTCGATAATAAGAATGCATTTCTATAAAGGATTAGTGGTTACATTTTTGCTGCTCCTGAGGTTATACATAGGTATACCTAATGGGTTTTGTTGGTTTACCGACCTCGAGACTAAGAACGGTGCGTTTTCTAACGAACAACCTAACCGCACGTACTGCAGCAATACTACCTATGCGATAACCCGTTTCTTCAACTTATTCATTTTACAGACTACGAGTATACTTACCTATACATTAATATAGTAAAACGTATTACTTATACCTATTTGGTAGTTGGTATCTAGGAAGTACTTCCTGGGTAGTACTGTTTTATATTGTACCGAACATTCCAGTAATTTTTATAGGCAGCGAGGCGCCATAAAAATGTGTCATCGGCGAATAAGAACGAAGGCGGATGTGACGTAATTCTTCCTAGAAATATTACGTGTTTGTGCGAGAATATTGTAATTCTGTTATAAATTAAATTGTAATTTTGTTATAAATTAATCAATGTCAAGGCTATTATCAATTTATTGTTATAAACGACGTAATTAAATTTACGTTAGAATATTAATGTGTTTGGTTATCGATATCCAGTGTTCTGGCTAGTTTCTAAATCTCGCTAGCTAGTACACCAAAATATCACCGTTGTGATTTTGAGATAGTAGGTTCTCAGACGGTAGGTAAAGGTACTACAGAGTACTGATGTATTGGCAAAAGTGTATTCCATGGATCCACCGATATCAATAAGGAGTTTGTGGGGAAGGAGGTAGTCTCCTGTTAAGGAGACTCTTCATTAGGATATTATGATGCGTGGAACCGGTTAACCCCCTACCGGACCCCTCCCCATATTGCGAAAGCTCCGCTTGGAATCACTAGACTCACTAGAGGCATATCGGGCGATCAAAAATGAGTGACTGTCGAGTCGCCTTTGGCGATTTCCCATGTAAACAAAAATTCCAAAGGTGACTCGACACTCGACGGTCACTCATTTTTGATCGCTATGTATACATATGCAACAATTGCATAATGCCATAATTGTTTAAAGCGTACACGAAAAAGAATAATTGACGCTAGTAGTGGGTGAAAGTTATTTGAATCATGAATTGATATATCCTCGTGCAATTCCTTATGGCAATGGAATTCAGAGTTCAATTGAAACTCAGAATTCCGACTTTAAATAACAATCAATTATCAAAAAAGATAATTACTTGATACTCTTAACGCCTTCGCAAACTTTCAATCCCTTAAAAAAATATTAGGTTAGAATTTCACGCCTTCCTACAATATTAACAGTGATCAGTATTGAATTTAAATAAAGGAAACATTTCGTAGACCGACGGACAAATTATACGTTGATTAATAGTGAAGACTGCAAGTCTAATTCGCACCGCTTTACGGAACACGCTGTACATTTCCAGAAATGTCATGCAACTTTTACTCTCATTTTACAAAAATGATTGATAGCTTCCAACACCATTCACTTTCAATATTTGCGTATCCCGTTGTTAACGCGCGCCCGAACTCAAAATACGCGGAGCTGTTTTATAAATACGGCGCTCGAAAAATAAATTTGCCGAAATTATTATTGCAAGAAAGCCGCAAGGCGCACTTTTTCGTAATTCGCACCGTCGATAACTCGTATTTATCCAGAAGGAGCGAAACCTACAATTGATACATTGATAGGCAGAAGCACGGGAGAGGAAAGGAGGGAATGAAATGCGCGCGCTCTCATTCTAGCCATTTTGTCACAATATTAACCTTTTGTTGTGATGTGTCTATTTGCAATGAATTATATTATATACGAAATTAATTACCCCGTAAGTTTGCGGTGTTAACGTGTGATCTAAAAGCTGTGAGGTTTTGTGTGCGAGTATTGTGGGAGATTTGTTAAATAGGGAAGACGTTTAGTCGACGAAATTTATGGAATGTTTTTATGGAACATCATCGGCCGCCGCCGGACAGTTCAACCGTTGCTCAGCGACCGACTGCCATTTATTTATCGCGTCATTTCGTAATTACCAGGTGAGTTTTCTTTCTGTTGACGGTATTGTTGAAATTGCGCGTTTCGGGAGATTGTGATCGTGAGATTTGTACGTAGGTTTCATATGGGAATCGCGAGAAAAAGGTGGTAAATATTGTAGACGTTTATTATATCAAGATGGCTACCGACGGCATTTAGATCGTTCACCGAGTGGTACGTAACTGCGCGATTTTATGATTAAATGGAATTTCCTGTGCCCGATTTGGCATTTTTTGTAAAAAGTAATCGTAGAGGAGTGGTTTGTTTTATGTGTCATATTGCGAAATAGATGCGTTTCGTTTTTATGAAAGGATTTGTTTGATGGTCGCGGGCCGGCGGTTAGCAACCGAAGCGCGCGGGCCGAACCTCAGGTAGCTACCGCTGCCGCTTAAATGCAAACCAGGTGTCAATGCTCATTTTTTTCTTGTAGTGAGAATCATGTGCGAACCTGAGGACGTATCGCAGGCCGTGTGGTCTCGTTGGATTTTAGAGGCCATACGGAAGATACGTTCTCAGAAGCAACGACCCAGCGTTGAGAGGATTTGTCATGCGATTCGTCAACATCACAATTACCACGAAGACGTCGTCTCCGAGCATCTCGAAGCGGCCGTCAGAGATGGCACGGTCCTCAAGGTATTCAATAAAGGGCAAAGTTCCTATAAGGATCCCATGGGCTTACAAAATCGCACGCTCGTCATCGAGAAAGGGATGGAAATTACCAAAGTGATCGCGAAGGCGATTCGCGAATTGGGACAGCGCGAGGGATCGACGCTCAAATCCATCGAGAAGTACATAAGGCAATCTCACACCGTCGTCGAAAATCCCGAAACCGATCTAAAAACCGCGTTGAGAATGGCAGCGAAGCGCGCCGTCTCAAGAGGGTTAATTATTCAGGAGGGAAAGGCGTTTAAATATAATCACTCGAACAGTCCCACGGTTAGAAGGAGAATTGATTCGTCCACCACCCCTAAAAAACAACAGCTAGATCTGGACGAACCGCCGAGTCCCTCGGCTAAGGTAGGATATCCTTTTGTAATTATACACGGTCGCTCATCCAAAAACATGCTAATTACGCCGGCATTATCGCGGGTGTCGTATCTAACTGTTGTAATTCCCTCTCATAATTAGCATCAAAACAAAACCCCCACCCTCGTTCACCCATATTATACACGGCGTCACTCAAATTAACTTTTGCCGCTTAAGGAAATAAATACCCAAAGCGTAAAATTAAAGACATACAGCGTGTTCCATTTGTGCGCATTTATGATGTTCATGTTTTTGCAACCACCAACGTTATTAGGCACTTATAACCAGGGGTGGATTTACACATAGACTGATACAGCGCCATAAAAACAGGAACGATATTGACGAATATAACTCCTAGCGAATCTATGGCCCTACTTTTTCTGCTATTTGGTTTGTTATGGTGTCGAGGGTTGCACCAAGAAAGGAATTTTTTGCACCAGTTACGAAACCAGTTATAGCGAAAAATATTGCTTTCTGATCCTTGATCGTTTTGGACCAGAGAGATCCAAAATCGTAATTTATACCTCAGTTTGATTGAGAAGACGGTTAAACGATATGACAGAAAAAACAAATTGGCTCTGTTGGTGGCGCTAATTATTATCTGGGGCCATTATTAAGCGGCAGAGCATAGCGAGTCGATGGTGTCAGTCTGTGAACAAGGTAACTGGCAAACGCTTGGGCCGAACCGGTTCAAACTTTGCACAGTTGACCTATATGCCACATGTAACGGGTCAAATCCAATGACATCGCTCTGCCGCTTTTCTGTATATGCTCCCTTATAAAAGCAAATTGAAATCGCGCGTTAAAAATGGTTTACGCATGCGCAGCCCATAACTTTCTTATTTATGGACCACTTTTTATGAAATTTTAACTGAAGATGAAGAAATAAACTCCGCATGCGCAGACCCAATTTTCTTATTTAGGGACGGATTCTACCAAATCTATACAGGGCGTCCCAAATTCAAGGGTGACCATTGCGATCTCGGAAACCATAAGATGTGCGAAGTCGGTTAAATAGAGACAAAGTTGCGCATTTTAGGGCCGAATCTAACCGTGTGTTTAGAAACTGAAACAATCCGAATATTTAGACAGTTGGATTATAAAACCGAAACTTCTTTTAAATTGACAATTTTTTATTGCAACTTTTCCTCTACGAGCAGGCATGGTTACGTTTCGATTTTTTTGGCCATCATCAACTTTCTTTTTTTAAACTCGTACCTGCATTTTGTATTTTATATTTTGAAAAAATTCGTCATCCTGAAAAATACAGGCATCACACTTGCTTAGTTTCTAAACGCTACCACCATAAAGATGACAATAACGCAAAATTTGCACAAAAATATAAATAATCATTTTTAATGTTTAATAACTAAGCAAGCGTGATACATGCATTTTTTCAGTAGAGCTTTTTCAACATATAAAATAAAGACGCAGGTCCGTATTTAAAAAAATGAGTTGATGAGGTCCCATAAAACCGAAATGTCGGACTAAAAATCTAGTTATCTTAACTTGTAAGCGAAAACCAGTCGAAGTGATTTGTTTTCAAAATCTCTTCAGTCGCAAAAAGTAAATTAGTGAATTTTTTCCGGTTATTTGCGAACGTATTCCGAACTCCTTCACTTTCTAAGCAACGTTAGATGAAGCCCAAACATTTGATAGATAATGTACTTTAGAATTTCGTAGAATTTTTCGAGGAATTTTCCAAAAGATGTTTAGAATTTGAATTTTATAGTTTTGAAATTTTGTTCTATACACACATATACACACAATTAAAATTTTCTGGCATTTTAAGAATTTTAGAATTATAGTGAAATATAATATAATATAATAAATATAATTGAAGTGGTTTACCCTCGGGGAAAAATCACTGTACAATTTTTATGTACACTACTAGCATTTTATAGAATTTTCTAGATTCTTTTGAATTTTTTAGAAATTTTAATTTTCTAGAATTTTTTTAAAAGTGCTAAGAATTTTTTAGCACTACTCTTGAATGTTCTAGAATTTTTTTGATATATTTTCCATGCACACACACGCCTTCCATATGTGAACGGAAAGGAGAATGTGTATTAGCGCGCGGCTAAATGTCTTACGCACATATCACTTAAAGGTCAATTTCGTAGGTATAATAATTTACGGAATGGTTATGGAAAGGATATGGTATGGAAACGTTATGTATAGTGAGAATCAGCCTTAAACGTTTCGTTTGATTATTGTCCCTAGTCTTAAGTATAACGAGCAGATGTCCAAATCATTGAGTCTGCAATTTGTTAGGGAGACGTCTAAACGACTTATTTCAATATCCAAGAAGTGAATTTGGTGCAGGTTTTTTTCCACGACTATTTTGATGTAGAGTTGTAAAAACTGTTATTTATGCGCTGATTATTTATCTTCATGTGCGTCCTGATCTAACAAGCGCAACTCTCGATCCTGCGTCAATTTGCGCAAGATCTACATTGTGTTCAAAGAGAGGTTAGCAGCTCTGCTATTATTTTCCGAAGAGAAGATTTGATATCTTCAGTACCCGACCAGCTGTAGAAGGGATTTCCGGTTGACGAAGAAGTCAGAATCAAATCCTTTGACCCATAATTGAACTGAAGTTTAAACTAACATTGTACAACTGGGCCTTTGGGACAAACAACTGCAAATCACAGGCGACCTGACCAGAACAATTACGCCCATTACTTACGTTAGAATTGATGTTTGAAATTGCAATTAATTATAACTTAAGTCGCTTGATTTACTATATCCTAAATATTAGCCATATGGCTCATTTGTTAATGATAGAACCCGCCTATTAAATTATAAAGAACACGAAGGTTCTCAAAGAAAAGAAGCTGATATTAAAGTTGGTAAAATGGGTGCATTCGAGAATTCCACATACGGTCCGTGGCAGTTCGCGAGCGCCGATGGATACGTACCTTTAGACGAGGTAATGAAAGTAAGTTTTCGTGCGCCCTCAATAATCGACAAAAAAATTGCAAAACGATAACCACCATAATAAATTTCAAAACAGCTGTTTAATTTATTTATACTTTCAACAATGAAACACATTACGGTAGGTGGAAGTAAAAGTAAACCTCAAGTCACATTTACCATTCGCAAGGGTCGCATTTTATTTGCGCGCCCTTTAATTCCACCTAAACACCTTCTTTGTTGTGCTGTTTTACGACACGCAACGGGTTAGAAGGCGCATTTCCGTAAATTCCGTTTACCTTTTGGTGGGATCGATGGGCGATTGTAAAGTTGCGTAATAAAAGTGAAAAAAATACGAACAATAATAAATGGGAAAAACCATTACCGCTAGAATAGCTTTTGTGTGAATGATCAGGAGCGCCTATTTTTATCACTAAAATCTGTATCAATGTTGCAGAGCGGGAGGTCGTAACAGGTGATGCATTTAATAAAAATTACTGTTGGTTGCGAATACCATGATACAATCATTAATAAAAAGATACAATGCTAATTTTTACATGCTTCGTTTATACAGTGACTTCCGTCCGTGTGTCAGTCGCACAGCTTGAGATCTCGACGCGACGTAGAAAAATTGCGGTTCTTTTATTGAATATCAACAAAAAGAAAGAATGTGAGCAGTTACCCTTATTTTTGTACTTGACAAAACACGGTTATAAAAATAGGGGGTTTCTATAGTTTTTTCAATTCAATTTTTAATATTAGTTTTTGAATCCCTTTATTTATTTATAAAAAAAATATCACAGTCCACTATAGCGGAACCTCTTTGAAAAGAAAACCGTGCCCAATCTCATATCGTATGAATAGGGCTGCAAACGTCATTCATATATAAATTAACATGGTACATATACATTTTATATGGAATATACAGGATGAGTCGACGATTGCGTTGAGTTCGATTATTGTCGTACTGACAGATTTGTATGATGATATGGTACAATATTCTGCGCATTTTAAAAATATTTTGAATTATACAGGGTGCGATCACAAAGTTAAATTTTTGTATAAATTAAACGTTCTGTATTTGGTTACAAATTCCAATTCTACATGAAATTCTTCAAACATTTCAAATGCGTTTTTTTAGTCACAAAAAGGGGCAGCTTTGCCCCCATTTAACATACACTGTCTCTCTCACCGTTACGGAGATCCCAATGGCGAGCCACGAATTTGAACTACCCTATACATATGTCGTCTTTGAGCATTGTTGTTCGAATCGCAGGACCGACGGACATATGTGATAAAGTGACTGCTCGCTATTAAATGAACGTAAAAATCGAATATGGCGATGTCCTGTGTAACATCTCAACATCAACATTTAAAAAAATTCTGCATCGAGTGGGAATCGAACCCGAGCCGCCCGCGTAGCAAGCTACAACGATTAGAGATTAGACGAACGACGACGACGACGACTAGCATCTTAATAGGTATGGATAATGGATTTGTCGCTATAAAGAGGTACAGTAAATCAACTCCACGGTAAACTGCACAAGCGAAGGTAAACAAAACGCACAGTTCAATTCAAAATTGTTTGAGGGGATGGTTCAATGGATGACAAGTTGACAACATAGGTACTAAAATTTGACTCGATTTGATCGGGTGAGTCTTGAGTCTAGATATGTTTCCGCCTACAGTAGATTTTTATTTGGTTTAGTGGAGGGGGGGGGGTCTCCTTGGAGCCAATGAAAACATGTTCTGTCCTTTGTGTAGGAATTTTTTTCTGTTACAGTTTTTTTCACACGGTCGACATTTTGTTTTTTTTTCAAATTGCCACACAGGTTTTCAGACTATCGTTGGAAAGCTTATTTTACGGTGATTATGACTTGCGTAATAAAAAAACAGTTTTAATAAATCGATTTTTATAATGATGGGTACCTTGGACTGAAATTTACACAGATGGTACCACGACGGCACCATTTCGAAAGACGATGCTAAAATATTCTCTGTATGAGCCACACGTCGTAATGCGTAATGCACCTTAATATTACGTGCGATAGAAAAAGAGTTGCTGTCGAGTGAAC